AGATGATCTGCGCATGTTTTCTTGAGTTCCAGAATCCCTTCCCATCGTTTTAACTATAAATAAATAAATAAAAAATAATTTTAAAGAAGCGTGGGATTAGTCATACTTGAAAAAAAGCTAGAAAATCAATGAAACGTAAAATAAAGCAGGGCCAAATTCCAGTATCCACGAGAAAAATCCGAAAGAAAGCAAAATCACCTAAAACCAAGAATCAATCAAATGTAAAACAACGCAGGGTCAAAATATATAGAGCAGAATATAAAACAACTATGCAGAAACCTGATGGAAACGTAAATGGCGCGTCGTCGAAGTTTGGCGTTGGCGGGAACTCGGGGACCGAAGTACGCATGCGCGGATTTCTAATTTGAAAGAGAGTGCACGAACTGATTCGGACCGTTTCGGACTGGTTTCAAACTAATCAGCAACCCTGCTGGAACGCCCAACTCCCAGTCACAATCCCTGACTGCTACTGCTGCTGGAACGCCCAAGACTAGACTGCGCATGCGCGGACTAGTTCGGGACTGTTTCGGACTGCTGCTGGAACAAACCTTATAACTAAACGGAATAATAAAATATAATAATATAAATATAATTAAATGGAAATGAACAAGAAAAAAGCGTGTGAAAGATACTCTTGCTTGTATGAAAGCCGTTCATAATGAGTATTATAAAAATAAAAATATTAGCAAGAAACTTGAAGGGGTACTTTGAAAGAATTGAATTAATTCTTTATTTTTCTTAATTCGTACATATTATTTATGAATTAATTTATTAATTAATAGTATTATGAATTATTTGATCAATCACCAATTATTGATAATTCACCAAAACATAATAAAACAGACGGGTAAAGATTACGGAGCTCAAGAAAATATTCACAATTTTACTTCTTCCCTATTATACTTCATATAAATTCCTCTTTTATTACATTTCATAATAATTTGAATACAATATAGTAATGTATTTCTCTTTAGACAATTCGATCTCGTTAAACAGATGGTTTACGATTATGGTAACAAAACAAGAATTTCACGAGTTAAAATTACACAAGAGCATTTAATAAAACAAGAAAAGGACTCGCAGCTAATCTCATAAATAATTGCTGTCACCACTCTCGGCTTGTGGCACATAAAGGCATTTCGAGGCATCGTATAATCCATTTCTAGAGTGTGGACGCAGCCTCACCGGCCTTTCCTCATTTCTCGCAACGCATCCCTCAAGTAGTCTGTTGCGGAGCCAAGTCTCTTGTTTCGATTTTCCACATTTCTAGTTGCACTTATTTCCAATGTCTTTGAGTAGCAAATTTCTCGCAACACATTCTCGGACTCGGGGGTAGTTTGTAGCGGGTGGTCTAACGTTGAGTGCCGTCTCTTTGGACCTGTAGTGACGTTCAAACTCCCGATTGGATGTCTGCGACTCAGCTGAACAAGTACCAACGGATGTTTTAATCGAAGTATAGGGGCGCTGCCTACACTTCAAACAAGAGATCTGCAAGTGCAAGAGACACAAGAGACGCCAAAGCACGCCAAAGATTCTCCATACCGCTCCTTACGTCTCTTTAAGACCTTCGTCTCAATATATTAAGTGTCGATATATCAACCTTTGTATGGTTTTACGCTGGTTTTAATTCTCGTGTATACCATATCGCGCGTATATTGCGATAATATATTGATCGTGTTGCTGTATGTTTGCAAAGTTTGGTATTCACGTAACCTTCAAGATAAAACGGATACCGTAAAACGTCGAAAGTGATTTAGATACTTGCTGGCGGTACGAGATTCATAGATAAATAGGTAAGGTATCAATATGCATTTGTATTGACTTCCCTAAACGTATTGATAATTGAATGTCATGTTATTGTATAGGACGCTATAAACCAAAATGAAATGAATTGTGATATACCCAAAAAAATTGGATCTCGAATGCCCGCTTAATGCTTCCGTACAAACGTTTATTGACGAATGTTATTACTTTTGTTTTTACGTTATTTTCCAATTTTGTCGTGTATAATTTTACGTTTACTTGCCTGCCGACGTTAAAAGGTCAACAAGTAACTGAGAGTTTTGTACTGATTGTGAGTTGCAACTGTAATATTTATGTGACAAAATTATATTTTCAATTTTTTTTTTATAGTGTAAACCTATTCTTAACAATGGTAGGTCATTTATCTCTTAGTAGAGACCATCACTCCAGTGATCTTGTTGCATCTTTACGAGATATTTTGGAAGAAAATAGTCTGGTTGACTGCATGATCTCTTCAGAAGGCCAATATCTGAAGGTTCATAAACTGATTTTGTCTGCTTGCAGTCCATATTTTCAGGTGAGTGATATTACTGTGTCAACAAGCAACTATTTCAAATAAAATAACAATACTTCAAAGGAACTTGATAACTCAAATTTAATTGCAACAAACATTTACAAACAAATATGAAAAACTACACAAGTAGAAAATAAAATTAAATAACAATAAATATAAACTTGATTTGCTAGTATTGTCAACTTACATTTCATCTCACAAACAAATACAACACAAGTACAAAATAATTTTACAGTGAAATGCATACTTGTTTGGCTGCATTGCTTTATGTCTCAAAGGAAAAGTAGAATAAGATAGACAAAACTGCCCTCCCCCCCCCTCCCAAGGATAAATACTTTTTATGTTGAGAATCGTTATTGTATTGTGGAGGAAAAAAACAAACTTTTTTATGGATTTAATTCAGTTTTTCCCAGAGTGCTTTGTACAAATGAAAATGGGGAAAAAAGTTTTTTAGCGTCTTACACAAGATTAATTTTTTGCAATCCTGGCCAGAAACTTAAGACCTATTTTCATAGCAAAATATTAAATCTGAAATACATAATTTTTTGCAATAAAAGCATATTGTGCGTTTCAGTAAATAATAGTTAATGCAAAGCATAAAGTTTCCTAATAATTCAAACAGGTATAAATTTTTATATTGACTGCCAGGACAAAGCCAAATTTGTTGAGGTATCAAGTAAAATCAATGGGTAAACTACAAAATGGGATGATGATTGAACAGGCCAGTATTTTTTTTTTCTGCAGCACAGTATTGAACACTTCTCTAACATTTTTTGAAGTGCTGAATTGAAATTAGGTTGCTAATTTTTAATATAGTGTTTGGTTTTCGTGGCTGGCAGTAAATACAATTTTTTTATTGTGATTTCTTGTTAGCAACCACATTATGCGAAGCATAAAACACTGTAAAGTATGACAAAATATTCACAGATTTGATACAGTAGTTATAAGTGAATATTGACACAACCATAGGAAATCTATTTTCTCCTCTGTTTTATTGAAAACACACTAAATTGATTGTCATTTATACTTCAGGTGAGTAACCTCTTATTAAACACCCAACAGTAGGAGTCTTTCATGGTGACAACACAATGTCACTGACACCTAATTTAAATCTGTTTTATATTCTGATGAAATCATTCTCCTTCTTCACCTAGTGGTTTCAAATTTTCCAGAAAGTATTTTAAGATGTGAATGGAGGATATGCAACTTGAAGCTAAATCTCTTCAATTTTTCAAACATCGGTCACATTCCTAAAAACGGGATCCTTAATTTGTTAGCCAGCTAAGTTGTAACTTTTCATTGTCTTTCACTAATGTTGGAGACCTGTTCTCATAAGAAGCTTTATAATGTTATGAATTCTACATGTTGCCCCATGATATTTAGATCGGTTTCTGTACTCAAAGTGGAAGAAGTACTGGTAGTATTCTCTCGTAAAGTGGTTGGTGGTACTGGAATTAGAACCGTTGGCCTATGTGGTACTCAGTTCTGATGGCAGATTTGGATATATCATGACTGGCTTGTTTTTCTTATTCAGTTCATATATTTTACTGGATAAAAATAATCATTGTAATGATCTCTTTATTCAAGCCCAAGTAGTGGACTTCCAAATAGCATAGACGAACGACCTCCCTTGAACCAGTGTCTTAAATTACTTACACTAGTTTTACCAACGATATGTGGAACAAATGTTTTGTTTTGTCTTGTAATTTAACTTTAAAATAATCCAGATACAAAATTTTTATTGTTGTATTTTTTTTTCTGCTTCTTAATTATACTACATTCATGTACATAACGAAAAGAATTCCAATTGTTTACAGTCCCGCTTCTTAAAATACCACTCACACTTTACAATTAAAAAAACGCAACCACACAATACACATTTCAAACAGGACTACTGGCACAAGACAATGAGACACTTGATCAGTATCTCTTGCCTCATACTGACTCAATGCAGGGGCCAGTGCAGAGATGCAGCTAAGGATTGTGTAAATCAATGGAGGGTAAGGGACAGAATCCAGTTTCATTGGAGGTCGCTATAGTTATGAATACCTTGCTACAAAGTGGTGGTGTATCTCACTAGCTTACATTCAAACTGTTTCAACACAATATAGCAAAATTAGTGACAAATTCATACAATCAAAAATCTGTACATGATGCAGGGGAAAGAGTACCATTTTCAAAATTAGGACAGTCTGTATGATATAAATAAAAACCTTTTATGCTTCAAATTCTTTGCAAACCTTTGTTATCAAAGGAGAAAATACATTATCTGTGTAAAAATACGTTGTCTTTCACTAGGAAGTATTTAGTATAAATTTGTACAAAAGATAAATATACTCCCATTACATCATTTGATGTGTATGTGTGTTTGTTTTTTATTAAAGAAAATGCTGCTTGAGAGGAAAATTTTAACAATAGAAAATATTAACAAAATTTTATGATTCTACCGTCTTAATGCAAAATTGTCTGTGGAGATCTGTTTTAATTTGCAAATACCTTTTTTCTTTGCGAATAAACTAGAAAATTAAAGAAAAAGAAAGAATCGTTGTGATCATATGACCACTAAAATTAAAAATTGCAGTTGTGGCTTCTCATATTACTCATATTCCATTAAGTATTGTTAATCTTTTGTTATGTTTCAGGCATTATTTAGAGAAGAAACTGATAAATATCCCATTGTTCTTCTCAAGGATATTGAATTTGAATATCTGAAGCTAATTATTAACTTTATCTATTGTGGGGAAGTGCAGGTATTAGACACTCAATTAAATTCCTTTTTAGAAGTTGCTAAGTTTTTGCAAATCAAAGGGTTGAATGCCAGCAGTAGAGAATGCGTAAGTATCAATTTGGGTTTATTAAAAATCATTTGTCTTCTTCTTCAGGACTAACTTTCAAAGATGTCAAATTTCAATAAAGGGTTTTTGATTTCAGTCCCCAGAAAGAATGTTTTCTGAACATCCAGGGAGCACAAGCATACAAGGAAATGAATCAGATGAAATACAGGCTACTAATGAAATTGTTGTTCATGATGATGATGATTGCCAAGTTATTGATTTACCTGGTGCCTCAGCATCTGAAGTACATGAACAGCCTTGTGCAGACAGTGCAGAAAGATCTTTGATGATTACAGATGAATCCACTTTTAGTTTGGCTCTTCAAGGAAATAAAGTGCCAGCATCACAAGATTTTATAAGATCCGCAGATCAGGAGTGGCATTCACGACCTGTATCTCCAGTGTCTATTACATCTATTACATCTGTCAAAACAGAGCAATTAGTTGATGGTGAGGAAATCAGTGGCCACAGCAGGACGTGTTCTGAAAATGAAAATTTGAATGAGCATATGGAGTGTGTTGATTCGGATGAAGTTATTCAAGCTAACGATACTCGGAAACTCGATAATTGTAAGTATTTCACCTGAGGGCTGAATTCATAGCTGACACTATGGAGAGAATAAAGGAATGCTTGAGCAAAAAGTGATTTGCTTTAAGTGATGGTCACTTATTGAAGGCTTCATTCTATAGACAATTTATTTAAACGGAAAAGATTATTTCTTAAGCAATGGAAATTTCCCATGTTGCACCAGCTGTTGTAGGGTTGTCAATAGAGGGCCCTTTATTTTTTGAACAAAGAGTGTCCAGTTTGTTTTCTGATGAATGATTTTGCATTTGGATGATTGTTGCATTTAGGACTCGAAATAATTGATTTTCTGTAACCGATATTTTCCATGTTGAAACTGGTTAAAAGGAGAGTGAATGAGGTTTGATTAAGGCAGATGATCATATGGTCATTTATTGGCCCATTCATTTGAGAATAAGAACAGCTCTTTTAATAAAGTTGCCTTCAGGAACACAAGTGTCCACTATGCAAAAACATTCCCCACATGATGCCAAATGACATTCATAATGCACTTTTATTTCTATATGTGTGACATATACACAAATATTTACACATTTTAGTGAAAAATATAAGAAAATATTGCATTGTTGTTTTGAAGCTAAATATTGAATTTTCTTGCTTTTCATGTAACTAATGCTCGTTTCCATTTTGATTTTTTTCATTGATTATTGTGATAGTTTCTCTGTAATCTTCTGGCATTAGCAGAACTTGATTTCGATGCTCATCTTACGAACAAATTGCCTACGAAGTACCCTTCTTGTAAATAATCAGTGCTCTGAATACCCTATTCCTCGGTGACTAGAATTCCCCAATTAATGGCATAATATCAACATGTTTTTTTGTTTGTTTTTTTACTTTCTCATACACTTTATATAGAGGTCAATGGGGTCAATCCATTTGAAGAGGTCCAGCATTGGTTGCTTGACCATCTCTGAGAAAATTCATACTTAGGTATAAAATCTCTTGTGATGTTGAACACAACAAAAAATAAAAATAGTATAATGTTCACAAATATCTCTTTTTGGTTTAAGCCACATTTTTAACTACTAATGTAGACATTTACAGTTTTAAAAATTATTCATAGTTGCTGTATTGCAGTTTTGAAACTAAAGTATTTTGAATACAATGTGCTCTGGCTGCAAGTCGAAGTGATATTTACATACCTAATGTTTCTATTTCAGAAATATTTGCAACCACAACTGTTAATGGGAATGACAAATTTCGATTTTTCGAGTAATTTTAATGAAGGAATAGTCACAGCCTTAATTTTTTCTGTGCTTCTACGCAAAACTGTTAACTCTGTGATAGCTGATACAGGGACCAATGTGGTGAACCTAAATGCCGAATATTTTGAGTCCATCTACAATGTAGCACATTGTGTACTTAATTCATTGATTCATAATGATTCAGTATCTGCTGAAATAATGAGAATTAAAATTACTCCTGATATTTATTTTGGATCAGCTCCCTTCTTTGAAAGAGACCAGCCCTGATGGAATTCCTTTGATTTTTCCAAAAATATGTTCTACTTTTTCTTTACAAACCCATCTGGGGCTAATTTTTCTAGTTCTTTTAAGGAGGGATTATTTTCCTGATAGTTGGACGGAGAGTGTCATTGCCCCAATTTTGAGCAGGGCAGTAAAAGTTCTGTTGAAAATTAGACACAATGACTGTTACTAACATTGTGTTATATTAGTATCTTTTTGATTGTTTTGCCAAGTGTCTTAAAGTTGTCATATTTACAGACTTTGCCAAAGGTTTTGATCAAGTGTATATACCATTATTAGCAGAGAAACTTCAGGCTGTCTGAATATCAGGATTGGTTTAATTCATATTTGAATAACAAGACTCGATAAATAAAATTTAAAAAAACAACATATGTTTAGGGAAATTAATCCATTACATATTTACTGGGAGTACCTCAAGGCTCGCACTTGGAACTCTGCTGTTTTTCTTGTTTATAAATGATCCCGGTACTTGTTTCTCAGAGAATGATTACCTTTTATTTCCTCCTTTCCTGGCTGATGATTGCAAATTTTGTAGTTATTCAAGATACCCAATAAAGCGTAAAACTAAACTATGATCTTGTAAATGTTGATCAGTTATGTACTATTTTATTATCTTGAATATTAAGAAGTGTTAAGGTATGAAGCTTCTAACAAAATGTACATATATCCTTAGTGGAATGTAATTAAGCATGTGGGAAGTATAAAGGATATGTCTTTTTTTATCATAATCTTAAGTTTGATTTGGGTGTAGACTACATAGTCATGCTTTCAAGTTGTGTGGATTTGTGAAGACAGTAATGAATTAAAAGATACCAATACCATTATGACACTATGAAACTCATTAAACCAGTTTTGATGAATGCCTTCTTGATATAGAATCCTCATTCTGTGTCCTGCAAATAGAAAGGATTCAATGTAAGTCATTTCCTTTTAAGTAAGTTGCATATAAAGCACATTTACGTAGTCCTACATTCAACCATACTTACTATGAAATTTATAAATTGACTAATTTGAGTTCTTTGGAATCGCTAACAACCTGTGGCAATGCCTTTTTGCCTAGAGGATAGTTAATGAGAACATAGTTTGTAGAGATTTGAGAAATTTGTTGAGTTTTAATACTCCCACAGACTTTGCAATCAGTGCATCTTTGATGTAATTGCTTACAAGACATCTTAGTTTTACTCTCTGGTTCCCAGACTATCAAGATTGTGCAACTAGAATAGATACCACTGCTCAATACTTCATTTTTATCTGTTTTTAAAATGTTTGCTAAGCAATTGCTTTTATCTGATTTTTATTGAGAATAGACTTTTGTATGCTAATGCAGCATATTATATTTTCATGTATTACAGACTGTGTTCAAGAGGTAAAAAAATACTTAATGTAAAATATTAATGATTAGTAGCTTGCCTCTTAAATAATTTCATTCTAAAAATTGGAATTTTGGATTTTTTCCCCAACTTTTCAACTAATATCTATTGGAGAATCAGATAAAACTTTGAAATTTGTGCCCATTAAAGATCGCTATTATACCTACCAGCAGTGTAAATTTCAACTTTGAGATTCAACTCGGTTGTTTTTCTGTTTTATTTAATGTAATTTGGTCAATAAGTGCTTAATTATTACATTTGGGAAAAGTTTTTTGTGTCATGTCTTAAGGATTATAGTGTTGCCTGTTATTGCAAAGGAGACCCGAAGACCCTTTAATTAGTTTGTGTTCATATCTTGGCCCCTAATGAAATGTATAAATTCTGTAAAGAAAACTTTAAAGGAATTGTGCAGTATGTCTTTGTAAAATCAAGGAAATTCTAAAATGTAATTTGAATATCTTTGAAGAAAGATACTTGTCAGAAAATGAAAGGTGCGTTTTCTGATGAACACAGAATAATGAGGATTCCATATCAGAAGGCATCATTATATAAAAGTAAACTTCAAGTTCAAAAGCTGCACCATTCCCTCTGCAAAATATAAATTTGTTCTGTGTTTGACAGTTCTGTTATGGATTGTATATAAATTTAACTTTATAACACATTTAAATTTAACTGCATACTTGGAACTCAACCCCAAAATTGAAATGTGTACTGCAGTTTGATACCATAGTGGTCTTTTATGTGAACAAATTTCCATCCGGTCTCTCAACGGTTGAAAATTTGGAAAACTCCAATATTTCAGATTTTAGAAGAGTACGCTTCTTGAGTGCTATGATACTTATCAGAGATCTTTTGCATTCATTAACTACACAATGATTTTTGAAGGCACTGAAAAAAGGATGTGACTGTATTCCTTCTTTGAAAAATCTTGTACAGTAATTCTAATTGCAAATATTACTCAAATGAAAATATCAAGTATGAAAATATCACTTTGATTTGTAGAAGAATTTACTGAATCCAAAGCATTTTAGTTTAAAGTCAAAAAAGCTGAGTTATTTACAAAACTGTAAAAAAAAGTCTCCAAACGATAAATGGGATGCAGCTTAAAACGGAAAATGACCGCCATTTATATATTTTTTACTTTCCCCTATACTGAGTATTATACGTAGTATAGGAAAAGTTATTCAATGTTGCGGAAAATTGATTTCGAAATTTCAACGGAAATGCAGGTTTTGGGGTTCTCCCGATACCGAAAAAGTTTTTCTTTCTTTTTCTTTTTCAAAACAACCGTTTGTTAATACCACTTGCGTCTGAATCATATGTAGGATTTTTTCCCAAATTGAAGGAACCTCTGCCGAGTCGAAGCTTTGAGATTTTGAAGAAAATTCTCTAAAATTGGTGGTACTTTTCATGAAGCCTCTGGGTCATTTCAAAATTTTCCCAAAAATGGCTCCAAATTTTTTCTTTAAATTTCTTGTTAGAATAGAGTAAAAAGGTGGCATAGGTCCGATTTTCACGGTACACTGTGAATTTTAGAAAATTTTAAAAGTTTTAATTTTTCGGTGTCTTCCTACAACTACAAAATTAAAGATGTGATAGATCCTTCAAATAAAATTTGTCTATAATGTATTCTTTCATTAAGTTCATGTACATGGTTTTGAAAATGTTAGTAGTTTTCACGCAATATTGCGAAAAAATTTGCAATTTTAAACAAATTACAAAAACAAGGTTTTCTCCAAAACGGCTACAAATTTATAATTTCAACTTTTGGTGGGGATAGGGCGAAATGCACTCTAAAAGATTACATAAACGTCATATCGCTCTATTTTTTGTTTTCTTTTTCAAAAATTACAAAAGTGTAATTTTTTGACATCTCTCACGTCTTTAATATTTACATTAGCAGTAATTTGTTTACATTATTATAGTTACGAGTACATGTGCTGTAAATAATGTCATAAAGTTTCTCGAAAATTCAACCTTTCCTGTGAAAACTAGCTCAAACTTTCGCGTTTTCATGAAACGCTCAAGCGCTATTTTCTCAAAAAAGGTTCCTAATTGTTTTTTCGAACTTTTCGAACAAATAGTGCTAATTGAACTCTTTAATATGATGTGAAGTTCATTTCGATGTATTTTTTTCCCCCAAAAATTACACAAATGTATTTTTTTTAATATCTCTCACGCCGTTAATGCACATTTCCGGCTGTTTGTAAACACTATTGTGTTGTGAAGCGCTTAAGCGCCATTTTCTTAAAAACGGCTGCAAAATTTTTCACTTTTCACAATTACAATTCAAGACAAATTTTTACTGTTCTTTAGTACCCACGAAATATTATTTCCCTTCTACCGCAACCGAAAAATAAAGAAAATTGCAGAAAATGTTCTTTGGGCGACGATAGATGGCAATTGGAAGGGGTATAAGGAAAATACGAATAGCTAGCGGAAACCAAAGAAAATAGATATCTAATACGGTAAAATCTGTGCCATTGTGTAGCACCACTAGTTTTTAAAATAATTTTGAGGAACCAAAACAAAAGGGAATTTATATACAGTATATAGTTTTTATAGGTTGGTTAATCAATTTATTTTATTTAATTTTCTACTACTTTAAATGAAATGGCCCACAGATTGTTGAAAAAATGGATGTTGAGATTTTTTCTAAAACGTACGTTTTTTGGGGGGGGGGAGCTGGTACAAGTAGCATTTTTACTTTCTCTTATACGTTTATACGGACTATGTACATACTTTATACATGGTATAAATAAAGTTATGTAACGCTTCGGAAAATCCATTTCGAGATTTCCACGGAAGTATACTTTTTCGGGTCCTCCAATTTTTATTTATTCTTATAAAAGTTCATTCGATATTCTTCTAAACTTCTAGGAGATTTTTTTTTTTCAAAAATATTCGCCTGCATATCATTCTGGCTCTACTCAAACCCTCGCGATGGTGAAAAGTTTTTGCTTTGGGAGCAATTACTTATTTTCATTAGTAAGTAGTTCTTTTCAGTAGTAGTACTTGCGAAGGGCCTGGAACATTTCTCAAAATGTTTTCTTTCTCGCCCTTCGTAAGAAGATAAAGTATTTGTAATCGTGCTCCGGTAAAAGCCGTATTTTCCACAGAGAAACTCCTATTGTCGGGCCTTCGTAACGAAAAAAATAGTTTTCATGTATAGTAAATTACTTTAACACGTTATGTAGTCAGAATCTACGTTTGTTGGGTCCTTTATAAGGTAAAATCGATTGATAGAAAAACGTCTGCGTGTCTGTAATAACGCCAGAGGCTAAACCGTAAAAGATTTTCACCAAAATCTGTATTCCTCGATTGATCTGACTGATGTCCCCCTTGAGATTGAAACGGATATTTTGGAAAATTCTTCACATGAATCCTGAACTTTTTGAAAAATTGCTACTCAGGTAGAGCGAAAGACGCATAAAAAATGTAGATATCATTTTCGTTGCACTTCCTAAATTTTTAAAAATTGCAAAAGTTAAAAAAAAGTTTTTGTCTTCCCACAACTACACCAAAGATATAATTTTTTCCCATAGGGTAGTGAAACCTGTTTATCAAAACCAGATCTTCAAAGGCCATGTTCAATTTTTCGAAAATGAGTATTTTTTATGTAATTTTGTGCGAAACTGCATTTTTTAAACAATTATTTTCTCAAAAACTGTTCTAAACGTTTTCTCCTTCCTCCTTGCTCTTTGCAAAGAACTGCAAAGAATGAGGTTCTGGTAGCATTTTCGGCGAACACGAAATTTTCAAGTTCCAAGCTACAGTGACAAATAAATATTGCAATTTTAATATTTTTTCCTTTAATAAAATCTGTTCTGAAAAAATCGTTTTTTTTAATATGTACATTTTGAAAAAAATAGTTTAGCGTAATTTTACAATTTTGAATTTCACACACCTCGTTTGCTAGTATTTTAGGAGTTATCAGATGTTGGTGCATTTTGAATGCAACCTGGCAGTTTGAAATTCTGGGAATTCCTTATCATTGTTGATAGATTTTATAGCTATATGAGAGGAATTTTTAATCGTATTTGTGTTTTTAAAAAAATGAAATTCGTGTGAAAATAGCATAGGTCTAATTTTCACTGTTAATTGTGAATTTTTGAAAATGGCAAAGTTTGAAATATTTTGGACACCCTCATACAACTGCATTATTTAAGTTCATAAGTTTGTTTTTTTTCCCTTCAAGTTAAATTTGTTCTCCATAATTCTTTATTTAATACATTTAAAAGAAAATACAATATTGAATTACATTGTCCACCAGAATTTGGCTCTTCTACATTTGTGAGGTTAGGTTGGGTGGAATCGTGTAATATAAATTTACGACTGACACAGTGGAACTCGAAATCTTCTCTCATTGGGCTTAGAAACTTCTCACCAGCAGATTGATTCCTTTTTGTCACATTAGGCGCTGTTCATCTCATCGTATAGTTTACTATCTTTGGTGACCTTAACCGGTATTGGCGAATGTGGTGTTCTCCTTACGGCTAAAGTCTGAATTACGCTGCGAATTGTCTCTTTCTTCTGACTTCTGACCACACGGTTTGGATGAAGACTTATTCAAGAAGTAGCCAGATTTTGGAATTTAGCCATAAGACAATTTTACCGTGTGTGAAAGGTTTGAATGAAACGGTGTTTAGAGATTCAGTGCATACACAGAAATTAAAACGGAAGATATCGTCAACGTAAAAATAGTAATAGAAGAATCGTTTTCAGAAAAATCAGTTTTTAGAAAATCCTGTGCACTGTTTTGCCTCCGGTGTTTACATACTGACGTTAACAATTGTTTCAGATACCCTTAAAGCGTGTATTTCGATATAGATTTTTGCAGCGTTATAGAACTTAATTGCCGAAAGAAAGAGATTTTTTAAATCACCATATGCAACCTGTTCCACGAAAATTACATGCTCTTGAGCGTATAATATTGGTGTAGTGATGCTTGTAGCAAGTGGAAGGAAGCATGGAAGCGACAATAGCCCTTTCTCGCTCTCCCTGAGACTCGCTTGCTCGTTTCTCTTCGCTGTAGTTTGCTCGCCTACCTCGCTCTTTCATACCCTCTCGTACTTACATCGCATGTATGTGTGCCTGATAATTCATAATACTTATCTTTTTCGCGTTGTCTAGTCACGTTCATTATGACTGCTGTGTAATAAACTTTGACATCTTTAATTTGTAGGTCCATCTGTGAATGCTGACTCGGAGAAAGAAGTAGAAAATACATCAATTGTTCAACGCAGCAATTCAGCTGGTGAGATAGTTTTAAAATAATAGTTTGTTTTTAGTTTTATGTATTTATTTTAAAATATTTTTGGGTAGTGAATTTTCTAAATAAATTCCAATTACTGACTGAACCGCCCAAATGCGTGTGTTGTGGACAAAGATCGCACTTTTTGCACAACGCGAACTGCGCACGCGCAGAGACTCAAAAGTACATTTTGCCTAGGTGCTTCACGTTGTGCAAAACGTCTCTATTTTGGGGGAAATCCTAATTACCCTTCTGTGCACCTCGGTAGACGAGTGGTTAGGGTTATCTTCTAGCTTCTCAACTCTCAAAGCGCGTGTTCGATCCCACATGCCCGTTTTCGAAGAGCAGAAAATCCACCCCGGCCGTATCGCACTTGAGGCACGGTTAAAGACCCGGGGCAAACGCCCTGCAAAATTAAATCCTACGACAATTCCCGCTTTATTCGGATCCTATATTTGCTTCACCGGGGAAAGTGTCGTAGTTATTAAGGGTAAATATGGTAGAATTTCCCGGCAATGCTGGAAGTTTGCAGGGTGCAAGTTGAAAACTCCCAACAGTTTCAATCTGTTGGGTCTGTTGATAAATCTCAGCATTCTTACACTTCAGAAATGCCCAGGTACAATAATCGAAATGGGGCCTCTATCTGCAATAACTGAAATTAAGAGTTTTAAATCAGATTGGAATAACATCATGACGGGTGTTATGGAGAAAATAAGCCTGGAGTGCATTTTTGCCGACGTCCTTATTGAGGGCTTCTTCCGGAAAGCACCGAACTAGCTGCGCCTCTCATCCTAAGGATGAACGAGGGATACAAAAGAAGAAATGCCAATTTATAACTTGTTTTCTTCCTCTATATCAGAAAATAATTATGGACTGTAGACCTCCCAATTATTATTGGCCCTCTTTAAAATTTAGTCGACCGCTTTGGGACCCCCCTGAACTAAACTGCATTGACACTTCATTAGATATATTTTATACTGGATTTTCATTGTTAAGGGGTCGCAAGAAGAGTTGTATGATGTGAATTCGATAGCACTTTTTTGGAATCGCTACACTCCACTACTCTCCGTGTGTATACTGCATTAAGAATACCTACGAATTCTGCGCGATAACACATCCTACTTTGCCTTTTTGTGAGAAACAATCAGAGTAAATAATGTGGCGGGGTGTAAATGATGTGGATTTTATCTCCTGAAATTGTTTTGAATATGTACGGGAGGAGTTGTTTTAGGGAGGCTGGACAGTTGTAAGGTCTATTATGGGCAGAAGTTTCGTGTGCGCGTTGAGTTTTTGCAAAAGAGTGTAGAAATGGATACCCAAGGGATGGTCTCGATGTACGCGACATGGGTTGAGGACTGCGCGAGGGCATATTTGCAGCCGATAGTTTCACACCACAGCCGAGAGGCATTCGATGCTGCTCATGCGTATGCCGGCGTTGTCGATGGTATTCAATGGCCGGAACTTAACGGAGGCTCTGGCACATGAACAGTACTGCCGTAATTAAGAATGCGGATGAGGGTGGTGTGTAACCCGCCGAACGGAAATTGATGGCACCCTAAAAAATGATCTGGGAGGTTCCGAAGGTGATGAATTCTGCAGAAACGCATGCAGCTGAATTTTGAGGCGGAGAACTTACATCCAGTTTTATCACTGTTCTTGCAAACGGTTGAGGGGACGTTGTAATTGCCTCTCAATAACTTGTATGCTCCTGGAAGTGCAAAAAATGTTAATGTCGACAAAAACCTCTTTCACATGCTCATGTATAGCTGATACTATACAGTTTATAGCAATGGCAAACAGAGTGACATTCACAATTGATCCATGGGGAACAACTTTTTCCAACGGATGGCTTGTCACAAAAGCAGATGTGGAAGGAGTTTGAAGATAGAAAATTGATGAAGAACAACAAAGATCTTTGTAATTATCATCTTTGGTAAGTTCCTAGAAACTTTACTGTGCGTTTTGTGAGTGTAAAACACCCAGCTTCTGACCATCTAGTTTTTGTTTGGTTGTTATTTTGAGATTTGAATATACGTAGAGTCGTCGGTAGAAATGGAACTGTTGGAATTGGAATTGAACAATGAGAAGTTCCAAAGTGCTACTTGGCAGCCCATTAATAAAAGCCATGATTGCTAGTAGGAATTATAAATTGTGCATAAACTGCAAAAGAAGAGATTGCAAAATAAATTTTGTGTTGCTTTTTTTTCATCTGCCTGTTCTCAAAATACGTCATTAGGATCTTTCTTGACTTCACCCTAATTGTGTACACCGCCAGTACTTCGTGTGATGAAAAAGGTTCTGGTATTGGAATGCCATAGCCATGTTGTACAGGCCTTCTAGCAGACTCCAAATCAGGATAAACCATTCCGGGTCTGTTTTTTGTATTGAATCCTTTTACTTCGCAAATACAAAAATAACAATCGGCTAGATGATTCTTTGGCTCGCGCCAAACCATAGGGCCACTCCATAGGAACTACAAAACTCAGTGCCTTCCTCTTCCCCTTCAACCAGTTTCTTAACTCTGCAATACAAACACTGCAAACTTTGAGCAACCCACGGCTTATCCTGGTCCCCCAGATTCATTCCAAAATAAGCGCACTTCTAACAAATTGAGGTTATATTCTGATTTGCAACGTCCGTAAATATAACAAAATGGATGTGGGTCATTAACATACTTTCTTCTTTGCATGGAAATACCACAACAAATATTTAAACTAACGAACTAGTTCTTCGCAACACTGTTTGAAATGCAGTCGAATATTTTGGTCAACTCTGGTTTAATTTAACTTTTGCGCAGTGGTTGCTATTATAAATATGGAGCTTTGAATACATGTATTCAGAGGCCTATAAATATAACACTCAAACACGCTGCCATCTTACCGTGTTCAATGAAAATCAATAAAATCGTGCAAAATTAACTGACGTATCAACTATCACGAATAATATATATTGGCGTTTCTAACTCATTGAAGATAATGTGTATATTTTCAGTATCTTTTTGATCACAGTTGATCACTGGAATAATTAAAAAATATGTTGTGATAGAACAAAAGGAAAGACATTATTGGATTCAGGTTACCAACTTAAGTACAAAACGAATGTCAAAATCATAAAAGGAAAATCCATGTTTACCTGCGTTATTAACGTTCTCTAGAGGTATATCGTACATAAATCCTTGTTGAAATGTGAAGTTTTGCTTGTCATATATGGTGACGAAATTCTCTGAAACAATTATGTTGACGAATCTGTCATGTAACATTTTGTGTCGTGTCGTTTCGCCGAATCGCAGTGTTAAGCGACTTTATATCTTTAGGAATATAAAGTGTTAATATCTTTAGGAAACGAAGAATGGGGTCCATGATTTTGACCTAGAAAGGAAAAATTTCATACCTTGACAAAAAGGACGAGAAGTGCTTTTATATTTACTAGAAGGACCAGTGGCTGTTTTCATTAAATTTTGAATCTGATCGCAGAAGACCTATGAAAATCTGACAAACAAACCTGAAGCTACCTCACCCGAAGAACGACTTCTTATTGTACTCGTGTATAATTCAATATAATTATAAATTTATTTAAATTTTTCATTAGTAAAATGTACAAATTTTGAGCAACAAAAATCTAAAAATCAAAGTTTAATGTTATTTAAATTAAAATACTGAACGCGATTACAATTATATCTGACATGTCGTGTCAGATTGACTGACGAGCTGAAAATATTGGACATCTGACTAGTCTTTGCCTTGATTCCCACAGCGAAACTCGAGCGACAGCGAAAGAAACGCGTCTGACCGCGTTACAAAATTCGCCAAGAAACGCTGCCGTGACGCTCGGCTGCCGGGTACTTCTTACCGTGCTCCTAAGGCAACACGTGACGCGAAACTTCCGCTGAGGACATTCCACGTAGGCTGCGGATCTTCCGCGCCGTTATGTGGGAGCGTTATATTTTAGTTTCGCACAGTTTCAGAACAAGGCAGTACCATCAGTACTCAACCCCCAAACAAACACACGATTTTTCACTTAATGAATCTAAGATTTAGGCATAATGAATGAGAGTAATCGCAATCAAACACAAACACTGCGAAATTGTCCAGTGACTCGAGTTCGCTGTACCTTTCTATCATCCCTTGTCCTTTGATGCCCCGTCCAGAAAGCAATTCTAACAGCTGAAGTTGTGTTTAGAAGCGGTTAACCCTGGAACAAGTCCAGACTAACGCTTCCTTCGCAACTTTCTTTCCATAAAAGTTACTATTCTAGTTCACTATTTGTATTTATAGGAAAGACAATTATATCTAAAATTGTTAGAAATTAAAGGTAACAATTAGATGTGAAAAATCTCTTTTGCGATTACTGCAAGCAAGTATGCTAAAATTGAATCAAAATATAAAATTTTAAAATACAGAAATTTATGAAACAATATGACGGTTATATAATCGTCATATTAACGGAAAATAACAAAAAGGTAAAAAAAACAGCCAAAATAAACTATATATGACATGTACAATTGCGTAATTACTTCTATATACTCGTACGTACGTATACAAGATTTTACCGTTCCATAATTTTCTTAAAGATATATATTGGGTTTTTAGTATAGCAGTAACATTTTTTTAAAATTGTGTATTTACTAGATGTCCTGGTGAACTTCGTATCACATGTATTTATACAAAAATCTATTGCTGTTGGCTCGTCTCGCTAAACCTCGAAAACGGCTAAACCGATTTAGCTAATTTTGGTTTTAAAATATTCGTGCAAGTAAACATTTGATGTGAAGTTTCGCGTCACTTGTTGCCGTATGAGCACGGTGAGAACAAGCCGGCAGGCGAGCGTCGCGGCAGCGGATTTGCAGCATTTAATGCCCCGTCTTTTAACAAAGTCACGCATTATCTAATCATTGTATTAAAGATAATTATGTCAAATAAGTAGCTACCTGCATTTTTTTCGGTCAGTACCGTTTGTGGCTTATCACTATTGAATGTGGTTATTAAATAAAACTTGGTTGCAGT